AGACTTTCTAATAAATAAAAGACAACCCCCCAACGACCCAACAGCATGACTGACGCACACATCGTAACGTGACTCAAAGAGCCGCACCATACTCTCCGTCTGTTCCTCGCTCTCTATTTTTAATTCTTGCACGGCGATTATGTCGAAGTCTTTTTCAATAAACAGTCGGCCCACTTGGCATTGCCTGCGACGTGCATTTAGACCGCGCACGTTTAAGGTGCCAAATTTCAAAGCCCTATTCAGAAAAATTTTGTTTTAGAGGGAGGCCAGTACCAGAGCACGGCACTTACAGTGTGAGACGAATAGCGGCGTACGAGAGAACTCACTTCGTGTACTCCGTGCGGCGTTTGGGTCACTCAGGCCGGGACTTGTGCCGTCCCACCTTGCCGCGCCATTCCCATTCAAGGCGCAGCTTTGCCTCCCCACTCCCAGATGCAGAGTCATCCAGCCTTCGTTTCACCGCCCAGTTTTCTGCGGTCATGACGATGTCTTCGTCGCCACCCTTGCCATCTTCAGTATTTCTTGGCTGAGGGTCCTCCACGGCGTCTTCCGGCGTCGCCTTCCCTCCTTGTCGGAGGCTTCATAGCTTCCTCCTTGAGCCGTCATGAGCGTTGGCGCCGACTGAGAAGCGCAACTCCAGCGCGCCGCTCGCCCTCAAGCGGACGAACGGAGAACCAGAGGAGCGGGGACGGCAGCGGCGGCGGCGGCGCGGAAACGGTGGCAGGGACTGTCTGCCTTGATGCGGGAAGCCGTTTTGACGGAAAAAGTGAGCGCGTTAAAAAAGTAATTTTTATGCTCCGTCTTGCAACAGCTTTGCACGAAGGACCGGGATGTCTAATTTCATTAGTGCTTCTCGTGCATCGCATACGCTGCGGATTTCTGGTCTTGTGCATGGCCGCCAGCTCAATCTGTGCTGAACTTGACGGAAAACGCACCCGTTTGAGTATTGAAAAACTCTATAGTACGGACTACGGAAAGTCTATTCTTTGCCATAAGTAGGAGAAAACTCGTCGCGCAACGGTATATCGAGCAATACAAATCGGGAATGGGTTCGCGTTTTAAGGCCATTACAAGGGACATTACCATTTACTCCAAGCACTTTAAAAAGACAGAATATCCGTACTTGTTAGCCAGCCGTTCGTGACGAGAGCTTAGAACGCGCAGTTTTGGCCAGAAGGACCGGAATGTTGCAAATAACATGGTACAAAAAAATGTTCGGAATATTAAAATATTTACTTTTGATAGAGAAATAAATAAAACCCCTAAACACGCCGATTATGTTAATAGGCAGTTTTTGCAGAGCCTACGACTGCCCTAAACTTCAGTTGGAAGTACAGCGCACTGACGTTAAACCGGCGCAGCCAACTTTCACGAGCTGCTTGATAGCCGAGTTAATTATTTTTTTTAATTAATAATTTTATTTTTCCTTTATTTACAAAGGAGGAAGATAGGGCAAAAAGCTGCATGGCTTGCAGCTTGACGAGGCCCTATTCCGTGTAGCAAAGCAGCAGAGACATTTCAAACAGGACAAGCAAAAAACAAAGTACTACACCTTATTGCATGGATCATCTACAAAAAGAGTCGTTAACACTGTTTTCCGATAGCATTTCGCGTAGCATACCCTTTGATATTTTAGTAATGTCAATATTTTCACCTTCGAGTCAATATTTTCACCTTTAAAACATACACGGTAGTGTATGTTTTAAAGAAGGGAGTTGTACAACTTATTAAAATAGCTTAAGTAAGTCTAAATGACTGTAAAAAAAAAGAGTAATCGTTTTTTTTTTTGTTTTATTGCAAAACCTAAGTGTTTTTTTTTTGTTTTTCTCTTTGACGCGTACTTTAGCTGTTTAATATCTAATATTGCGTCGTCATCAAGCCTCTTGTAAAAGTTGTGGCCGTCAGTTTGACGTCAGTGGGCTTCACGGCGAACTGAAGATTTGGAGTGTCGTATATGTGACAAGAAGTGTAAGGACCACAACATTTTTTTTTAAATAATGAGCACGGCAACGCTCCTGGCGCGCACTGAAAATTGTGCTTCGTACACGCAGCGCCAGCTTGCAGCTGTAATGCTACGCCGCACGGTAGCCTGCGGTAACAAACTTTCAATCAATAACCATAGAGCAGTTTGATTGCGTGTTGCGATACACCAAAAACCGAGACGGTCAGCAGCGAGTTCTGAGGCAGTGACGCAAAGACACCAATACAGTGAACGCTGCTCTTCCGAAGCTTGACGGTCACCGTTCGCGGCTCTTTTTTTTTTTTTTTTTTTGGCACTAATGGCCAGGCAAAGCGCAAACATATCTTCATCACCCTCGAAAATATTCTGCCACAAACAGTAACGTGGCCGATGCCTTTAATTCGCAGGCTCACCACAAACCTTCGCACTTTGAGGTTTCTGCAACTTCTAAATAACAGCATGCTCGTTTTCCTAACGTGCATCAGCATCTCGGTCACCTGTAATATGATCCCTCCCTAACCGCTTCGCATTTGTAAAAAAAAATTAATAATTTTTAGCGCGCTGAACAGCGTCAGCGAGCAGGCGCGCGGGATATCCTGGAGAATCTATCCCCGTCTCTTCCGCCATCTTGGAGAGTTGCGAATACCTCTCTTGAGCCCCCCTGTTCTCCCTGCGGCTGGCTCTGCCCTTGCAGCTCCTTCGGTGACGCCGGTGCTGCTGCTTCCTCCGCCTCCTCTTCGTCCATCAGCAGCTCGGAGGTTTCCTCGGTGGCTCTGCTGCCGGTTACACGGGTGTAAGTCTTGACTCAATCCCTGGTCTCGTGTCCGATGGCGCTGCACTTGGAGCACCGAGGCGCCTTGCAATCACGGCGAATATGCTCCGTGCGCGTATCGGTGCGCGCTCGGGGACCACTACCAAGACGTTGCCCCGGCCGAGCCGAAGCTGGTGGGGAAGGCTTTCCAGCGGGAGTCCCTCTTTGAGGGTCATCCGGACGCCGAGGGTTGTGGACTCGACGTCGACAAAACCGTCCACCTTCCACTTTTCCCGCGTAACTTCCTTGACGGTCCCATACAGTTCGAAGGCCCGCCGACCTGCTTCCACAGGCACATCGAAAGAGACCCAATGGAGTTTGACACGCAGTCCCCTCCGGTTTGGGTCGACCACCTGACACGTCTTCCCTTTCACCTAGAGACTCCCGACTTTTAAAAGCTTCTCCTTTGCTTCCGGCGAATGCAGCTTAAGCAGCCAGACGTGACTCATCTGGTAGGCTCCCAGACCCGCCACGCTTGACAACACGCCCACCTGTTGCAACGGCGACCTGAAGTCTTCGATCTTGTACGGACGTCCTTCTAGGTCAGCGTGCAAAATGACGCTGAGCATTGCCCCCACTCCGGTGGGCAACGACGGCGGCTGCAGACGATAATCTATCGGTGAAGAGCCAACCGTACCACCACGGCCGGGCACGGCCGCTACCGCTAACGCGAAGCTGATCATGAGCACGTCCGTTCGCTACGGCAGCGGGAAGTGGAATCCACTAGGCCACGCACGCGCTCGCTCGCTGACGCGCGTACCTTTATATACGGCAAAAAGTGACTGCATTTGCTCCCTCTGCTTGATTATAACTAGGGTTCCGCGTTTTCGGTTTTTATTTTTTCGAAATTCGGCGTACTTTTTTCGGTGTTTATTTTAAACTTCAATTTTCGGTTTTTTTTTTCGGTGTATATTTATTCCCCAAAAAGTTTACCGTTTTTTTTTTTTCCGTGAATATGAAAGAAACACATTCGGACACCGGATCGGATGATCCTTGCAGCTGTGACATTTGTGATCACTCAAGGAATAACGACACATATACATGCGTCCTCTTCGCTACAACTTCCGTCGGGACACACCTCAAAATCGCGCAATTCGGGAGCCTAATTTTCAGCGCGCTTCTTTTTCCTCCCTTCTGACGACGTGACCGTCTGAGGTGAAAACCGTACAGTGGCCAGCGGAATGGGGAAAAAAATCAATTGTATTTATGTTCTCAACCACAGAGAAGTTTGAGCGAGGGTGTTAAGTATGGTATTAATAGCTTTCCTCGATGTCCTCTAAAGTGCCATGAAGCGAAAAACCTTATACTAGCCGACATCCAAACTTTTTTTTTTTTTGGGGGGGGGGGGGGGGGGGGGGGGGGGGGACCGGGGACTTGACACACTAATCCCGATCACAGAAAGGACGCAGATGTCCCGCGAAGGTCAATACAAGACCTATTTTGTTGCATGTTGAACCTTGG